ACATAAGTTTTAATTTTTCAATTGCAGTCAGGCATTGTTGATATGCTGCTGGTCTTAAGCAAGTGAAAAACAGGCTGTAAGTTAAGAGAAACACATAACTCCTCAATTGCAAACAGCATAGTGCTTTTGAAACTGAGTACAAGTGGTGCTTCTATACACATAGAGTTGTGGGAGTATGGAACAAGCTGATTGGCCATATTGCTGAAGATGAGTCACAGGATCCTTCAAGAAAAGGTTGGATGAAATCTTAATAAAAGCCAACTGGTCGCCTCTCGTTTTTAACTATTCATATGATATGATTCATATTTAACAGGTTGAAATCAACTTAATAGGAATCCTGTAGATTCTAAACCTGTTAACTAGCAAATTACAGGCAAGAGGATGATGTTTTATTACATTATGGTGTAAGTGTATATATATATAAATAAAAAAGAGGCTTTGAAAAGAGCAAACCTAATTGTAGAGTTTGCAGTGTTGTTCTTTGCATTGCACAAAAGCCAATGAAAAAGCCTTGAATTGAATAGGACAATGTGTAGACAGCTGTTCCAATAATAACCTTAACATGCATCTATGACGCCGCATCACCAGGCATGGAAATGTTGCAGAGAGACGCCAATCTCTGAAGCTTGCATGTTTAGTGTTAAAATTAATGCAAGTTTTCTTCTTAATTAAAACCTTATTTTTCAATTAATCAGAGAAAGAGAGAAAGGCAATTAAAAGACCCTTCCCAGCACTCTTTAATTAAAATCACACACCTTACATTTTAATCATATATTAGAAGACTTTTCCATGACTCACTGAGCTTCAACATATATGGGCCACAAGAAATTTAAGCAGCTGCTGCGCATCTGAATAATCCCATTTAGCATAATTTAATTCTTGTAAAAATGCTCGCAACACAAAGAACCATCTCACCCTGCGCAAGTGCATTTCTTCGAAAGATATTCTATAGCAAATGTTTTTTATTATTTTTTTAAATTAATGATACTCTACTCATTATGTCATTACCTCTGTACCAACAGGGAGATGGATTCTGCAGGTGATTTTCTCACTGTGAATCTCAAATTATATTGTGTATGAAATATTACCAATCAAAAGAACAATCTCAAATTAAAGCTTAGGTGAGGACTGGCTTCCCGTCATTTTTGTTAAAGAAATGTCCCCAGCCACTTGTTAACCTGGATAGACTAAGTCCCACAAGACCCGATTGTCTAAGACCTGATCTCACTTTTTAAAGTAAAATTTACTTTGAATAAGTAAATATTTACACATTTAACCCTCACCTTTGTGGACACAGTGTCAATAGTTCTAAAAAAGTGCAATTGTAAATTAAAACAAAAGATGAAAGAAAACGGTGTACTTGCAAACACCATTTCATCAATGTAAAGTTAAAAGAAAAAAAAATCTCCAGAAGATGGGACATCCAAAACTCGACAAAGTGTACCTCCCTCCCAAGTTCTCAGAAGGGTAGAATTAAGCATGACGCCAAAACACAAAACATTTATATGACTGCAGGTCATTCAGGTCTTTTTTTAACTTTAACATAAGACAGATTTGAGCTCTTACATAACTGTTATTTTTGCCAAAAGTGTGCAGTTTGTTCAGAAGACTACTCTCCTGAACCGAGCTTCACTTTCCTAATATTTTTTGGATCCATTAATAAAGAATACCACCATTTAAAGAGTGCTTCATATCTTGGAGTTTTTTCATAATTAAAGAATATAGGTTGCATACAGGTTGAACAAAATCTTTAGATGTCTGGATAATAATGGACTTGCAGATCTCTCAACCTGTCCTGCAGCTCAAAGCTAAGGTGTCTTCTCACTGTACTTCACCACAAAAGGTGGTGACTGAAGGGGTTAAATCTAAACCGCATCTTCACAGAAGGGCTAGTAGACACTGTAGCGTCTTTCATGATGGGCGCTCTTGTACCAATATGGCAATGTGCAGTCTGGCTTGAGGGCTGACAGGGAATGGGAGGAAGTTCTCCTTTAACTGTGAACCGTTCACTGACAGAAATCAACTGAGGCAGCAGGCTCAGAAGTTCAAGCACTGCGGCAGCGTTCTGTGTTCCTGCTTCCCGCTCCGTTCAGGCCGCAGCTCGCCTGTGCGGTCCAGTGACCACAATAAGTGTGCTATCTGCCTAGACTGTCCATCGCTGCTGCTCATTCCCTTGCAACACCTTCAACCAATTACTCTGCCCTTACCACACACAGGCCCAACTTCCTCAATCACCTTAAGAGCTTAGCCTGCTACAACGGCCCCAGCCAGCCAGCATCACTCCATTGCCTTCGCATTTATCTGCACTGCGGCAGGCTGGGCCAGCGCACCGTTGACGTCTGCCCCTGCTGCCTGGCCAGTTGCGCCACGTCAAAGCAGGTGAAGTCTCATCGAAAAGGTTGGCATAAAAAAAGTGTACACCTACGCATAACGGGGAAACATGAAATTGGTGATATTTAGTCCTGAGAACATACAGACTACCTCACACTTCAAGCGGCACTCGCACAAGCAGATTTCTTGCTTTACACTGCCTTAAAGGAATGCATATCTTATAAATATCTTTGGCGGCTAGAATTTCATTAGCTTGCCTTTGAACTGCACGTGCACCACCCCTCTTACAGCCCAGTGATAAAACCGGTGTTTTGGATTTTGTGTGCAGCTACACCTCCCACTTTCCTGCTCATTTCAGGTCGTGACAAGTAGGAAAAATAATTCTACTCTTCGCACCCCTAGCACTGCCACCCTGCTGCCCTGGCCCGAGGTGCCGCACTGAGCCACACACTCTAGACTCGCCGCAGGCCGTTACGTTTCAGTGATCTCTGCAGCTCAGACTCCACCTCAAGTGTTACCGTTAATGTGGGATTATGGAGAGCCGTGAACTTAAATCTGTTTGCCGTCTTATTGCTCTGACCAGGAGTTTTATAGCTGAGCTTATTTGCATAAGATACCGTCTCTTAAGCCAAGGATAGCCTGGCCAAAAGCAGGAAGCTTAGTCCTGCATCAGCCCCACTGCAGACAAGCCTGTGCATTGATTGACCGGTGTCGTTTGTGCAGAGAATGCCAAACATGAGCATGCCGACTTGCACTGGAGATTATTTTGGTCACGCTTCTCAGTAAGATATCTAGTACTGTCTCTCTGATTAACAAAGAATATGCAATTACTAGTTGGAAATGGAGATGAAACTGCATCTTAATAAAGGACACTGAATTAAAAATCACATTAAGCCTTCATGTCACTGAGCAGAGTGTTCCCAACAAGGATTCAGGGTTTGATTCCTGACCATCTAGGCAAACCCCTGGTCATTTCTGATCTCTACAGCTGTGTAAACCTTCATCTTCCAGTAGGACCGATTCAGGTTGGTTATTTATTCTCCGTTTAAAAGCATTTTCACTATTTAAGCTACAAATTGCCTGAAAAAGGCTAAAAACATCAGAACTAGGTGATGTGTTCAACAGGTGGATAAAAATAGCTGGAATATTTGAACAACATGGCATTTTTGCTGCACAGCTGGGTGTTGTGGCAAAGTCTAACAGCTCCAAGCGCATGGGGAGTCCTAGCTCTTCGTGGTCTAAGAACACATTTGGGAATTCAAAACAATTTAATTCTAAAAGGAAATTTTAAGAATGCTTTACAGTTTTTAGGCCTATTAGAACAGATAATGCTGAAAAGGAACTTTCCTTACTAATAACACTGGTATTTGTATACTATGTAAAACAGCTGAAGCATCTTGCTAGACTGCCCTAGTCCTGCTCGACTTCAGAGGTGTGAGGAGATGAAAAATAAATTTGACATTTCAGTGGCAGTTGCAGTCTATTTTTGCTTGTGGGCAAAGTCTCACAGCCCTGTTTGTATAGTTTAGTTACTCTGGATTGAGGTCTGTGACTGCAGGTTGTTAGAGTGTCTATACGCCACAGGCCCTGCTGCAGGGACTTGCACAGTGTCAAAGTGGAAGCAAAGACAGCTCAGGTGAAACAGCACAACACATCAGAGCTAAAACCTTGAATGTCGAGGGAGACATTCAGCAGTAGTCTTACCAGCTAGCCCATTAGCTTTAAACTGGATGTTTGTCAATGGGACGTCTAAAAGCATTTAGAAACTCACTTCAGGCAAAGCAGACTTCCAGGTAGACTTTTGCTGAATCCATCAACTTTTCTAACTGCTTGATCAAATACAGGATTGTGGGCCTTTCCTGAATATCATATTAAAATAATTACAGTGAACCACTTGTTCATACTTCTTAAAAGGTTTTCAGCTAAGTCATAGTGTCTGAAATCCATCAGCTTTACAATCACATTTAAATGAACAAATGAAATCTTCCCTCTCATTATATAAAACTGCTTATTCAAAAGATGTGGGGTTTTGTTTGTATTTTACTCCATATGCCTAGATGTAAAAGGCCATTTCCACAAAAAGCAGCAAATAAACATGCCAAGTAACTGCTTCAAAGGTATTTTGTTAATTGTCATTAAGTTACAGAAACATTTTTTCTGTATAAAAATTGCAGTTCTCTATAAATACACCTTTCAGTAGCTCTCTAGGAGCAGAACCTGTGACCCCAGCTTTTGAGAGAGGGGCATCTTTTACCAGCCATGGTGCCTTTTTTGTACTTAAGTGGTCAATAGCCTAATTCAGGGCGTGGTAGTCCTAAAAGAGGCGTATGGGAGGTACTGTATTTGCAGGGAAAGCAAAACAGGAGATGAGATGTCGTGTCTAAATTATGAGTTTGGTTATTTTGGTGAATGTGTTCAGAGGTGAAATGAAATTCATACAACTATGGTGTTGTCCATCCATGACTTAAACAATGTTTGCTGAGCTGCCCATGGTGAAAGGCTCCTGGGGAAACACACCTTATCCTACACTACCCGTAAAACAGGTTGACCAATGCATAAGAATGTTACATTTATGTATTATGCTAATTCAGTACCTCCAGGTTTTAGGTACAACTAAGGCCAGGGGGCACTTTGGCCCTGAATGCTACATCAAAGTCAAAGCTTCTTACCTTCTATGGGCGATGTTTTCAGCCTACGGCAGAGTCCTTGAACATCACCGAATTTATCACCGATTTTGGCAACGGCTTCACCACTCCTCAGCTCCATCAGCTCTCGGAGGTCCATTACTGTGCAGCCAAACTCCCCCTCATGGTTGCCCTCGGCAACAGAGTTCCCTGGGGGGTGGTCCGCTGTGTTGTTTGCCATTTTGTCCGACTGGCTGACCGATGGGATGAACCCCTTTATCTGACTGGTAGAGCTCAAAGAACAACAAGCAACAGGTTAAGGAAAAGTATGCAATATGATGAAAGGGAAGAAATTGGTAGTCTTCTCAAGTGTGGAAGCCAAAGTCTTTGTTTGTTCCTTTCTCCACCTCCGTCTTCCTCTGAAGAGCTCCGGACTTCAGAGACGGGGATCCACTGTCTACAGCTCCCCACAGGGAATTCTGGGAAAAGGATGCAAGCCGTTTTTCCTCTGTACTGGACACTGATGCAAACATCAGCCGAGCTGGACTTCCCCAGACAGACGCGGGAACAGGAAGGGCATCACACCACAACGGTAGCACCTCCTAGAAATGGCCGTCGGGCATCGTCTGCAAGCAGCTTCTGAGGACGCTGGCAACTGCAAAAGAAAAACACCTCTGTAGAAAAAGCCTTTCAAAACTCCAACACATCAGTCTTTCCAGTTCAGAACTGTTAAAACAGATTAGGATCAAGGACTAATGAATATGGATTATCCAGAAGAAAAAATGCCTGTTACAAGTGAATGGACATAATCAGAATTGCTAATACATCGTCTCCTGTTGAGTTTTCTGTAGCAGTCAGTGCTGAGGGATATGTCGGAGCTAATTTGCCATCACAGAATTCACACTCCTTTAAAGACCTAAAGCTTCATTAAAAGGAAAAACTTTAAGCATCAGATCTGCACAGTAGAACCCCAAAGACTTCCCCAGATCAAAAAGCAAACATTTCAATGTCGAAAGAAAAATGCTGTAGAAAAGTTAGAATACCTAGCAGACAAAGGGTACAGGGCCATCAACAAATCCCACACATGGAGGTACCAGCCTTGGCACTTCCTTTTCTCTACCCATCATGGATCATTTTTAGCAGAAAGCTTGAACTGGTCACTACCTCATGTGACCCATGAACCAGTTTTCCAGGGACACATGGCCGCCACACCCAGACACCCCAGTCAGTCCTAATATTCATGTACTGGACATTTAACTCAAAGCCCTAATCAGAACGTGTATACAAATGCTTTTAAGATTTTACTATCACAACTAATAATTGTTCTTCAGTTACTATTTCAGACATCAATATGGAATAAAAACATGAACACAAAGGAAACCAACAAGCTACAAGGCCATCATCTTCCGAGAAAAACACAACAATGAGCTTGTTAATATGATGAAGGAACAAACGAGATAACGGAGATGAGAAGCATTCCAGTACAAAGAGCAGCTGACCCACTGAGTTCAAGCCAAAAAGTATAGTTTACTGTGAACTGTGTCACTAATGTTTGGCTTCTGTTCAGCCTTCAGACTAAATTTCCCATAAGTCCCAAATATTTGGTCAGACACAGCTTCACTAAAGTACACAGAGAACTCAATGTTCATGCCTGGCACGCACAAAAACTATTAACATCTTTTAAAGCAATGTCACCAAGGCAGCTTCCAGCTATAACCAACGAGCTCCATCTTCATTTTCCAAATTCGGAAGGGAAGATGTAGAAGACTTAAAACCACAGAAGTCTACCGTGGGCTTCAAAAGCATCTATTAGAAAACGAGCCTATGGATCCGGTCTCTAACGCGTGATCAAGGGAACTGAACAAAAACTGGTCTGGAAGGCCATTGTCATTCATTTCATCAGCCTTAAACCTCTTGGGATTTCTACCAGTCCTGGCCAGGCTGGCAACTAGCCAACACCCCCCAAGAGGGAGACGAGAACGGCCTTTCTTTGCTTGCTGTGCTCTTGAGGTGGAGGGAATCAATTTTGGCGAAACAGTCAACAGGATTTGGATCACCGAGCGGCTATTCTCTGCTTACTACTCACGCTGGATTTCCCCTTTGCTGAAGTTATTCCACGTTCAGCTGTCACTCAAAATCTACTCCTCCTCTTTCCCGAAAGAATCCATTAAAGCAAAGTGACCCAAGATGGCACATTTTCAGCCAGTCATCCTTTCAGCTTTGCCGCATTTTGGTAGTAGAATAATACGTCTTGTAAACATCTTAGAAAAGGTTTAGAAAATACTCATTTTAAAATGCACAGAGATTATGTATTTTCTTTCACAAGTTTTTCCTCCAAAAGTTTTGCTTAAAAAATGTATCCTACAAATATTTAAAATAACTTCAAGCAATGTAAAATTGCAAATGCTTCCAAAACAGTGTACGCAGCACAGATATATGCCTACACGCAGTATCCAAAGGCATCATACTGTAACTGCTTCATTCAAGCTTTTTTAATTTAAGATGTGGAATGTTTAAATAAAAATAGCAGAACTATTCCAAATTAGTTTTAGGTGGCAGTAAGCTTTAAATCTAGTATTTTGAGAAAAACCTTAATGAGACCTTTGTCACGATGGTATTCACAAGAGCCATACACAAAGGGTGTTATACGTTCTGAAAATGATCATGCATCAAGCCTTACTAATATGGAGATACATTTTGTTTTCAGTGTAAAAACAAACCATTATGGTATTAACTAAAAATCAATATTGCAAATGTTTCAATAGGCACAGTTATGTTAGCCTTGCATACAATTTAATATATCATCCTGAACTGCAGACAATGTTTTACTTCTCACCAGAAGGCCTGGACTAGAATATGTTGCTGAATAAGGCAGGGTAAGCTGTGGAGAAAAGCCTGGGTGCTCTTAGGCATGGGAGGCTCCCAGCGATGAGTCACTCTCTGTTGTGCAGCTTCAAGGAGGGGCTGGCAGGAGCCCAGATGTCTGGCAGATCTGCAGCAGCCAGGTCAGGCAAGCTCAGTGTTCTCTGAGCGTGCCTGTGTAAGTGTGCAGACTAGCAAAGTGCCACACCCAGCCATTTGTAGGCCCTACCACTTTAGTTGAGCTCTGAGGAAGCAGGGATATACAGACCCCAGCAACACACCCCAACCCTACATAGTGAAGCAGTGGCAGACAAATTCTTCAACATTTCTTACTGCAAATAGGCGTTACTCACTCTGCAAGACTTTCTGCTCGTTTACACCCCACCTTGTCAATTCTGTTCACCTGTGAGCTTGGACGATACCCCAAGCAAAAACAGCACAAAAGAATTCGATTGAATAAGCTAAACCTGCTGTATTTAAGACTGCAAATCACCATCAGTAAGCTCCTCCTTGTGGGACGGACCTGCAAGGAATCTGACAGGAGCTCCTTGCATGTTTTCCTGAATTCCATCTGTAGGAATAGTCATCAGGTGAAATCTTTTTCTCAGTGGAAGGCCGAGCACAATGGAAAAATGAACACCGTATAAAGAAGGCACTATAAAATCAAGCACGTTTGTTAATGTATATTTCATTTTCAAAAACGAAGGGAGACTTACTAATTTCTTTAACTGAAGAACTGAACAAGAGTGTCCTGTTCTCTCATATACAAATATCCTGTGACATGAAAAGAAAGGTAATGGTCACCTACCAGTCTGGGATTAAAGCACTGAGCTCAGCCAAACAGCAGATGGGAATAAGGATTTATTCCATCTGTATGCAAGAGCCATACGTTCTGTCAAGTTTCTTCGGATCAGCACCGTTAGAAGAAAAGCCAAGACAACTGTCAGTGGCTGCAAGGTGAGTAACAGAAACTGTTTCCGTTTAAAGAAAAGAAACGGCCTGAAAACTGAATGAGGTTACCCAGAGAGCCGTTGAAAAATACAAAAGAATTGCCCAAAAGCTTCCTCTCTAGCAGCAATGTGAAATGAGGGACCTTTTTCTGTCAGCGAACAAAACTGAAGGCTGTTTGTTTGTCTTTTTTAAACGGAGAGATGGAGAACTGACTGACCCACAGGGTGACTTATGTAGCAGTGCCAAAATCTCAGAGAGAGTTATTTGAGCTGGTGTGATCACTTTTCAAAAGGAATATGCTGTACAGCCCATATACAAGATTGGAAACCGCAGATGATGAGGAAACCACATTACCCGTTTGCCCAACATGTTAAATGACCTGCACTAGCTACCCCAAATTTGAAAGCATTAGATGGTTCCATAATATTATGAATAAAAGACTAAAGATTACTTCAACAGCAAACCACCTTCCCCTGGTCCTATGAAAAACTGAAAAACAGATCCCCTCCCATGTGTTAGGAGATACAAGTGGTAACATTTTAGAAACCATTGTTTTTCCTCCGCTATTCTGAACAAGGAAGTGCCTTGCTCTTGCCTAGTGCTTCCATTAAGGGATGTCTCTAATTGAGGCCTTCAGCTGCAGCAATAATGGATCTAGTCGCCAAGTCTGGCTGAGAGTGCTGCTATTGATGAGGTCCCGTTGCTCCACCTCATTTTAGGGGTCTGACCTAATTTTAGGTTGTGTAGACGACTTGGTATCCTTGGTACCTTTGAAGGTGGGGAGTTAGGAGGAAATGTTGCTGTGCTATTGGCCAGATTTTTCCTTTTGTCAGACTAAGTTAACTGCCCCTCTATTTCTATAATTATGGAGTTGGCAGTGCTCCCACGGAGACAATCACTGCATAACTTTTAGCAGTTATTATTCCAAGCAGACTACTTGGAAAGAGTCAACTTGCCTCACAAGCTATCCTATGGACATGTTTTCCACTAAAGACATCCTTCACATCTTTACTATAAGCATTTATCTGGTGAAGAGTCTTGTGAGTCTTTTTAGCAAAACGTAATCTGGCCTTTCTATTTTTGGTGCTGATGAGAGGTTTGCATCTTTATAATTCTGCTGTCAAAGTCTTTAGGGAGCAGTAGATCATGATATCTTTACCCATGCACTATGGAGATTGTTGGCGATTTCAGCAACAGTTGTTTTCGAGTTTTTCTTCATAGCTCTGAAGTTTTCTACCATTAGCTCCAGTTTTCCTCAGCCAGCCTAGTAACTGCCAATTGCTAAGTACACCAATGGTTTCTCTGTTTTTCAAGATGGTTGAAATCAAGTTGTTCATTTTGCCCATTTTCTTTCAGCATCCAAATTGCTTGCTTTTCTGTCACAGACAATTCTCTAGTCTTCATGTTAGTTCAGGCCTTCCGATACCAGAGGCAAACAAAAGGAAGAGCAAAGGCTAAATCCAACATTACATATTCACATCTTTTCAATGCAACAGGAAACACCTGACCAATAAACACCTGGCAGCCAATTTTCCCAATACATACTGCTCACCGGAAATGAGGGGAATGAACACAAAAAGTGCTATTATTCTAAAACAGTACAACATACAAGCATGGAATGACAGAAATAAAAGGCGACGTTCTATAATTTTGTCTCATATTAAAAGTTTAATTTCTTATCCGAGTTGCTTGAGAATACTGCAAAACTACCAATTCTGACTTCACTGTCCCAATACTTTTAGAGGGCACTATACTTCTGGCCATGTGATCCTGTTCATCAGTAGAGAATAGTCTCTAGGTGCAAACTACTGGGAGAGATTTAGTGCCCCCTGCAGCATGGGA